ACCCGCACAGGACCCCCAGGCTCCCTTTGGTCCAGCAACTAAGCTGCCCTGTATGCAGTGCTCTCTCCTCCCACACTTGGTGGGCCCTGGTCACTCATTTAAAAGTGACCAGGGCGGCCCAGCCAGCATGGCTCAGCGGTTGAGCATCGCCCTGGGAAACAGGAGGTAACAGTTCAACTCCTGGTCAGGGCACAGGCCCGGGTTGTGGGCTCGATCCCCCCCGGGAGGGGGCGTGCAGGAGGCAGCCGATCCACGATTCTCTCTCATCACTGATGTTTCTCTCTCTCTCCCTCCCTCTCCCATCCTCTCTGAAACCAATAAAAACATATGAAAAAGAAGAACACAGGGCGGTGCTGAGAGGCAGAGATGTAAGGCGATGTCCCTGAGCGTTCTCACTGGGTTAGTGGCAGAGCTGGAACAAACCCCCGCGCTCACCCTACTGTGTGATCTGAAAGCAGACAGCTGCTCTCGTACACATTCTCAGGCAGCGAGTTCCGGACCCGGCTTAGGACAGCCGGAGAGATGACTCAGGTGGCCACCCAGCTATCTGTCCACACGGGTTCAGGCCGAGGCTCCAGGCCACTTCAAGACCACTTCACCGAAAACCCAAGCCGCCCGGGGACCTTGAACTGACCTCAATGGGAGAGCCTTCGCAGTCTGTGCCGACATTACCGACAGACAAGGCTGAAATGAATGCACAGAGGAGGATCAGAGGCGAGTCTGTTTTAGGCTTGAAAAAATTCATTCCATGCTCCTCACTCTATCCAAAGAGGAGCACCACACGTACAATCTCTCTGTTGACTAACAGCATTGATGAAACTCCCCTCTCACCCCCGCCCCCCAATTTCATTATGGTGGGGCAGTAGGGGGTACAGCTTAGGTGCCCGCCCCCCCCCCGGCCCCTCAAAGAGCTGAAAATCCAATCTGGGGCTGGGGGCGGGGTGGGGGGTAGGGAAAAGGCTTCATTAAGGAGGTAAGATGTGAGTTGGGCTCAGAGATTAAGGAGGTAGAATTTAGAGCAGGGTGTGGGGCGGGGCAAGCAGCCAGGCAGCAATAGGGTTCATGCTGAGCGGTTGTTGGGGGGCAGGGGAAGGCTGGCTCAGAGAGTGGGGTCAGATTTGGAGGGGGATGAAGTCAGATAGAAGAAGAAAAGTGAAAAGAAAATACAGATTAACTGGCTAATGTGGGTAGTTGCTAAATGTTAATATATTTGGAGAAACTTATTCCCATTACTTGCCATCTTTTCCCACATTACAAATATGTTATGTAAGTTTAGCGCCAGCAAGCTTACCTCTTACAAACGTCTGCCCTGGCTAAACTCCGCCCACATCTTACCTCCTCACATCCATGCTTCATTATTAATTACAATTTGCTTAACAACTGATGCAGAGGAGGCGCTTCACACGTGCCGGCTGATCTCTCCATGCGTCTCACGTCTAAAGTTATAGGGACCGCCCTGACCGATTTGGCTCAGTGGATAGAGCGTCGGCCTGCGGACTCAGGGGTCCCAGGTTCGATTCTGGTCGAGGGCATGTACCTCGGTTGCGGGCACATCCCCGGTAGCGAGTGTGCAGGAGGCAGCTGATCGATGTTTCTCTCTCATCGATGTTTCTAACTCCCTATCTCTCTCCCTTCCTCTCTGTAAAAAATCAATAAAATATATTTTTAAAAAATAATAAAGTTATAGAGACCATGCTGTGCTTTCGAAACTACCCCCTGAATCACTTTCCCGGATCCTCATTTTCCTTCTGCGAATCCCTTCACGTCATCTCTTTCCTCCTGCTTCATTGAGAGGAAGTTCCCTAAAATGAAGCATCGGACGGGATTGTACTGGCCTTGTCTCCCTCCACCCCCATTTAAAAAAGCCACTCGCCCGGTGCTGTATCGCTTAGGGGTGGTAAGCAGTCACCTCCTGGTGGTGAAGGCATCTCCCTACCTGCCTGCCGTGTGCAAACCCATGTCTAGGCCCGTCAGAGAACAGAAGGAACACGCAGTCCTGTGGCTTCAGGGCAGTCCGTCCGGGGAGGGGGTAAGCCCATCCCCGAGGACCCTCGTGGTCACGAACCCTCACATCCTCCCGGTGAGTGGACGACACCCGTGTGTGCTGCCCTGCAGGCTCCCGGGCACCTCCTGAACGTTCCGTGTGACCCACGTCAGCATGGGGTCTTTAATGTGATTCGCTGTGTCTCATCCAGACGTCCCCCGTCATCACTGAAAACCAACCACTGGCTGTCAGAGCGCATGGGACATGGGAAAACTCCCTGTATGAAGGTGTCAGAAGGCAAAGCGAAGCCCACAGCGCTGCTCCCACCACGGCAGGGAGGCCGGGAACCCGCTCACGGCCTGCCGCCAGGAAGTGCGGAAGATTTTAGGGAATGAATGCTGTTGACTAACCTCACCAGTCCCTCCGTCTCCCTGTCCGGACCCTCACTGTGTCTCTTCGTCTTGCTTCACTGTGTAATATGTGTCTCTGGAAGCTCCCTTCAACCACTTTTTGAAAAAGAAGTTGAGGTGTACATGAATCAACTTGTACCGTGGGGATGCCAAAAGCTTTTTGGCAAAAGAACAGGTAAGTGAAGTGAGCTCTCAAACCCTGGGCTCCCGCACGCGGACAGGAGGCCGTGGCTGATGCTGAACGATACTGACCTGGCACCACTCAGTCTCCTATTGAAAAGATCAATGGAGCAAACATTCAATCCCTCTGAGGCCTTTAACTGTGAGAAGACACGCAGGCGACGCTGGACAGCTGGGGGAAGGGGTGGGGATGTGCACCAAGAAGAACAGAGGACTTCCAGAAATCACTGCCCGGGCTAGAGAAGTGTGCCACCTTTAACAAAATGGCCTTTTATATATACATATACTATACATACACTGATATCAGAGAGAAAGGGAGAGAGAGAAAAACATCAATGATGAGAGAGAATCATTGATTGGCTGCCTCCTGCACGACCCCTACTGGGGATCGAGCCCACAACCCGGGCATGTGCCCTTGACTAAAATCGAACTTGGGACCCTTTAGTCCGCAGGCTGACACTCTAGCCACTGAGCCAAACTGGTGAGGGCCAAAATGGCCTTTTTGGACCTTTCTGGGTAGTACCTAAATTTGTGTCTTAAGTATATGTATTTACAATTTTTCTATAAACATTAAAGAAAACAAACAAAAGAAAAGGCAGCCTATAAGCACAGCTCTGCAGCTCCAGAAGTTCATGACATTCAAAACACAAGAACAATTCGGACCATCCCCAGAAGACACGCGACGTCCCCAAAATGTCCATTTCCCGTGTGCCAGAAGGCAAGGGAGCGTGAACTGAGCGCACAACTCTTAGCCATCAATAAAAGCTCCACGTCTTTCACTCCGCGAAACTTTCAACGTCAACCAATTCTTTAACTTCGCTCTTTCTCATAGAAGGCGAAAATGTCTCGGGTGCACCCGGTATCTGTGTTCTCCAGAACAGTCCACCGTGAACGCACTGCGTGGGGACAGCTGCCGTCACGGCGGGAAGGCCAGCACAGTCCTGAACAGAGGACTGAAGGAAATAATAATGTCTGTGTTTATCCCAAAAGCAGAAGCACTGATACACACCCTTACATAATGCAATATTGTTGTGAACGGCGGCATTAAATACTGTGTCGCCTCTCAGAGTCTTTGGAATATAATTAATCAGCATGAGCAAATCGAGGTCCCTTCAGAATTTGCAGCCACCCTCTGCTTGCTTTTGTAACTAAGCTAAATTTATTTGGAAAATGCATATCCTTGTAAGTAAATGCTATATATTCTAGAACATCAAACATTTTTACTCCCTAAATCACATGTAAAAATAAAGAGAAACATAAGTTTACTTACCATCATCTAATGCTAACCTTAAAAGAATAGATATTTTCCTATAAACACACACCACGCAAAGGGCTACTGCTTCGTGTATTTCTATCAAGTTCCCAGGCTATCGTTTCGCTATAGGACAGAGATTCCTTACGCGGCGAGAGGAAAGGGCTCCATTATAGAGAGCCAGATATTTTCCATGTCTGACAAAATGTTGGGAGCGTACATTTAAAGTTTTGGGTTTTGGCCTCACTGGTGAAAAAAAAAAATAATGCATTCGACCAACGACAAGAGGCTCTTCTGTGATGATCTGAGAGCCCTCTCGCGTTCACTGCATCTGCTCTGCTAACCAGACTTCAGGCCAAGAGCAATCTCCCCAGCAGACTGGGGGAAATATAAGAGTTTAAAACTGTTATCATTCCCTGAAGCAACTGCTCAAGATAATTTGCAAGAGTATTATAGTTTCAGAAATTTATTTTGCTGCTTCATTTGTAGATAAAGTCGTTTTGACGCCCATAGAAATCCTTGGAAATTCAGTCTCAAACGTTGAATATCACTAGCAGGGCTGCCTCTAACGACGTGCAATAGCTAGGAAACCACATCACGAGACCCTGTAAGTGCAAGGCCACACTGAGCTCCCTTCCGGCCCCTGAGCTTCCTGGTGGAAGCGAGGGTCCAGGCCCCCCCACTCAGTCCCGGGTCTGTCTGTAGGAAGCTCTCAGCAAGCTGTTCCGGACCTTCAGCCCCTGAACTCAGCCAACTTTCCCTGCGGAGTTCCACGCACGGATTCATAAGATTCATTCAGTCCCCTGGCCTGCTCGGAGAGGCAGCCCCCGAAACCGAACCGGGGCCTGCAGAGGCGCCCAGCGGCCCCTCGCACCTCACTGTCTCGACCCTTCTGGCCTCTCCCCACACGCAAGCCCCCACCAAGGGAGCGCC